GATAGCAATTGGGGATGGCTGGGGATTCGGGGGGGGAGCGGAATTGGGTCTTGGATTTTCCTTTTCTAGAAATAATGCTAAGAAAAAGGTTTTGCAGGTGTTGAAATTACTTCTTGACACTTAACCCCTCCACCAATGTCTGCTTCATATTTAATTTCTAATCCAACTATATATTTGCAGACCCAAAACCTAAATGAAACCTTTTGAAATTAATTGACCTGATCTAATTTGGGGTTTATAAATTCACCAGACTTCTTGAGATTAAAGTGTTCTGTCTTCACTTAAGTATGGAAATGTTTGCAAGCCTCAAAAATTATCCCGCAATGGGGAAAATGTCTCCTGGTCTGCTCTCCTTGCAGTCTGAGGAAATGAGGGACAGAGTCACAAGACTTAAAGCAATTGACTTACCGCACTTTACTAAGTTACAGTTCAACTACAGTAGTTGACCATGTGCCTGTTTTTAGCACAAGAGTCACTTTTGATTCCCGCAGCTAATACCATCTCCTCTGTGCAGTCACTCCAAAAAATGTGTTTCTTCTGCAGTGCTCACAGAAAGTGAGTTCATGTCCCTGCGCATGAGTTGCCAATGTAATTTATTCCAGCAACTTCCCTCCCCTCTCCCAGCAAAATAAGCTATACCATGCTCGTGTTCCCATGCGTGAGCTCTCCTTGGTCTGCTGTTCGGAGTGCAGGAGAGATTATTTATGTTCATTAGAGCTCTGGATGAATTGCCAATACAGAAGAAGCAATGACTAATCTCTGTGCTGCTTTTCTTCTGCACTCATTGCTAGGTCATTGTGGGAGGGTCCTTGTGCTGCACTATATTGTGAGTTACTGCTGTCACCCAAAATTTGGTTATGAGGGGTTATAATCTACAGCATTAGGGAAGCAGGATGTGCTGCAGCCCCCAGGCTGTCTCTGCAGCTCTGTTCCCTGAAGCTGTTTGCCAGCTTTCCATCTGGGATGTGAAGTTTTCAAGATGGGATTCAAACACTTCCCACTTCCAGTCTTCAACGGCTCTTGCACCCCAGAAGTCTTTCCCAGCAGTTTGGATTTTCACTGTGTCCCATGTTTAAACCTAACATTTGCAGAGCAACTCCCTTTGGCTTTCTGTGGTTTCTGAAGGGCCAAGTATTGCTATAGGGAGGCCCACAAACAACTCCCACCACCACTTGCTGTCAGATACTTGTTCCCAGGCAGCTTGTTTGCACTTTGCTGCCGATTGTGCTGTACATGTTTAAGTCTCTTAGTTTTTACTTGCAAGCTAATGCTTGATGTCCTGGTCATTTCAGTTCTTTGCTTGTGTTTTAGTGTATCTTAGCTTGGGGTTATTTTTTTTTACTGGTGTATTAGGGTGCATTATTCTCCCCAGGTGAGATTCTTTTTCTTTGCCATGGATAAGCAGTTTTGCCCTCAAGAGATGTGGACGCAGACTCAGCCTTTAACATTGGGCCAACCTTCTGTTTAGAAATGCATGGTTCCTTCCCAGTCCTTTTCAAACCCCCAAAATTAGTTGGATTTGGAGACACAAGTGTCTCTTTAAAGAAGGGCACTTCCTGCCTCTCAGCCAAAAAGATGGGAAAAGGATGGTAAACTTTCCCCTCAGCCCATGCTGGATTTGTGGTCCATATTCTTATGACACGAATTGGCCCCCAGCCTCTAGGTCTGATGTTTTCTAGCTGGTTCTTATCTTTCTTCTCCGTGTCTTGCTTTGGCCCTCTGTGTAGCTCATCAGATGCATTCAGCTCTACCTGTTGATTACAGAGAGGGCTGGCAATGGCACCTTGGGAGAAAAGAAGAAAAATAGGGCTGTTAGGTTTTTTTTTTTTCCTTCATCTTGTTTGGCTTGCTGAGGGTCTGAAAGCTCCAGGAGGTTCTGGAGAGTTAGCTAAACTGCGAAAGAGAGCAAAATCAAGAAGCCAAACTTGTAATTCTACAGGGATGCTATTCCCATAATGTGCAGAAATACCTTTGTGCAGGTTGTTAGCTGCTGGGGCAGCACTTAGGCATGTGGGATAACCTGATTAGAGAATCAAAGAAAACCCTGTTAGCTCCACAGGCCAAATCCTGCCTTACAGCAACCTGATGTCAAATGGGTGTGAATCAAGGAAGCTTTCCCTTTGGCATCTTCTGGTAACACCTTGAAGAGAAGGGTCTGAGCCAGGGTTCTAGCAAGTAAAGAGGCTTAAGCAAATATACTCCCAGACAGGGAGTGAGCTGGAGTCTGCAACTAATGACTTTGTTTTTCCTCACTGGTACAGACTTGGAAGGATGAAAAGAATAAATTCCTCAGGTCTGATTTTCAGGTTGTATAGAAGGCTTAATCAGGAGTTGGTTAATTTTAAAACGCTCGTCTTAGCTGCGAGAATGTCAGACAGTGTAACTGAGCTGAGATTTGGGAGCAGAAGACGTGTGTTTTCTGAAGGCATAATCCAGAAGCGTGATTACCTGCTGTACTGGTCACTGCAAAACTCCCACCAAAGTCAGCATTAACGTGAGATGTCAGACAAGATGATTGTAATGATCCCTTGCGGTCTTAAACTCTGTGTGTCTGAAACGTGTGAGTAGGAGGTGTATCAGATCTGTAGTGAGAGCATTTCCAGGCCACGCTGTTTGGTGTTAAATCCCTTTGCAGGGTGGATTGCAGCTGCAGGTTTCTGCTCTGTTCACAGTACTAGACAGGCTGTGCTCAGTGTTGCTGTCTAGAGAGGTTACGTAGGCTGTGGTAGCAGACCAGGGGAACTGCTTAGCAGATCAGCCCCCAATGTGCAGGTAAGCCGTGAAACTCCCAGCCATGTTGTGGGTGCTCAATGTTTATCAGAATTCAAAAAGCGATCAGGAAAGTTCATGGGAGAAACATCCACTTGAGGCTAAGTACAGAGAAGTCGAGCTCTGGCTCAGGAAGTCCCTAAGCCAGAAATCGCTGGAGGCTGGGAGCACATCCTAAGGAATTGCTGTGTTTTGCTTGCCCCATTCTCATACCTTGGCCCCTGTTGTTGGCAACTGTTGGAAACGAAGCAAGCAGTGACTTGGTGAAGCAAACGCTCCATACCTGTGCATATACAGAAGTTGTCATAGAAAATGCCTTATGAGTGGCACAATCTTCTGTCGGTATCTGCAGGTATGCTGCATTCCTTCCTTGGCAATACAGAGAACAGCATGGCTACAGACTGAGATGATGTGATCTGCTTATGCAAAGCAAAATGGCAAATTTGCCAGGTTATTTCTCCAAAGAGAAAATTATTGACCTTGCTTTTTCTGGCATGCCAGCAACTGTTATAATGATGATGATGGTGACAGTAACCAGACAGAAAGGCCAGCAATAATTCTTTCCTGTCCATTATTACAAGGCACAAAGCAAAATCCAGTCTGAAACCAATGCTAGTTTGGCTGTGCTCTCTTTACAAATGTGTGAGGCAGTTCTCATATGGGTTGAAATTCAGGACTTGTCATATCAATCTTTCCAAAAACAATCCTTTTGATCTTCTGATGTGAACCTGTGTATTTCTATGTTTGTATCTTAGCAGTGATTTGCAGCCTAGAGATAATGTCCGATAGCAAATATGTGACTGTAGAAGTAACCTCTCTGAGCTCCTGGGTGATTCATCTCCTGACAGTACATTTTGGCTGCACATGTAAGGGCTGGATCTTGCCACTGAGAATATTGGCTCAAAGAAGCAGTAACAATGCGGTCAGTCAAAGCACTACTTTCCCTGGGAATTTTGTTGCATGAGGAAGCAGAATAACTTTAGCCTTCCTGTGTTTGTCAACACGATCTGTCTTCCAGCAGCTTTTTATATTTCTGTCCCATTAGATTTTTTCCTTTCCTTTTTTCCCCCTCTTTATTTCTGTCTATCTTAATCACAATCAATATTGTAATCATAGACTTTCTACCTCATCCAAGATTCAAACACTGGTTGGTAACATCATTTGATAACTCCAGAGGCATCAAGCAAGAGTAGTAGGTGAAGTTTGCTTTCCTAAAGTCCAGTGAAATGACCCAAATCATTGCCACAGATTTATTGTTTGCATCTGGTGGGTTGCATAGATGCAACACATGTCCATTCATGGCATGTGTCTTTAAGGTGCTTGGTTTGAAAGGGTAAGTTGCACAGTTGGTGTCAGAAGGGCTGGTGTGGCTCACAGACAACCAACTGAAACAAAATTATCTTGGTGTTTCTATAACTAACTGCAAGGGTGAGTGAGGGTTAAATGAGATGAATCATTCAGCAGACCCCACTTGAAAGGTGCGGGTTTTTTGGCTCCAGTGCTTCAGGAGCAGGCCAGTATGTAAAACCTGTGTGGCAAGGATCATGGCCTTAGAGCTGGCATTTCACAGTTACTATCTCAAACATCGTGGGCCAGAGATAAATGAACAGTTTTAAGTTATCCTGAACTCCTGTCCTTGTGATGCTTTCATTGCAGACGCTGCTTTGTTCTCTCCCCAGACTCAACAGTAGTCTCCGTGGTGGGAGAGGAAGATCAAGATTTTCTTACAAGGCAGATAAAGATCCTTTATGGGAGCTGTATTGGCAGAGCAGTTAGGGGGTCTCTGTGTAGCCCCAGGAGTTTGAGCTTCAGCTTTGCACTGCACATTGTGGAGGTTGTCTCTAATCAACTCAGCTGCAAAAGGTCATTCAGACTGGGCAGTCCGGAGGCAAAAACCCAGGAGTGCAGGCTGCTGCATAACTCCTTCGTGTGCTCTTGGCTACAGAAGCTGCAGTGTCTCACGTACACCCACCTGATGGGTCATCTCTGATCATTTATCACAGCTGCTGAGAGAAGCCTCTGGTTTGTGTTCTCACACTATACGAAAGACTTGACCCAGGCCCTGTGCTGTTATCATACTCTTTGTTGGCTGTACTGTGCTTATCTAGAAGAAATGAAAAGAAAGTACCTAATGCTTCCAAGTAGACCAGCAGCAGCCTCCAACCCAACTGACCTTTGTAAATGTCCTGCTGAGAGGGTGCTCACATCTGTTGTGTATGTTTTGTTTGCAGAACACGCTGGAGCAATGCAGCGTTTGCGCAAAGCCCATCATGGAAAGGATCCTCCGAGCCACCGGGAAGGCCTACCATCCCCACTGCTTCACCTGCGTGATGTGCCATCGCAGCCTGGATGGGATCCCCTTCACCGTGGATGCCGGTGGGAACATCCACTGCATCGAGGATTTCCATAAGTATGGCCCAAGCTGCATTCAGTGGCTTTGCTTATTGTCTTTCTCTTTTGTCCCTAAAAATCCTTCTTTTTTATTGAGTGTCCAAAAAGATCTGAACCTTCTGCCACTTCCTCCCAGGGCTCTTAAATAGTAGGCAGAGCTTTGCTCCAAGCAGGCACACCAAGGTATACAAGATAAATTGGTTAGGGGCCAGTGCTGCTTGATCTCGGTTTTGCTTAGATCTGAATTTATGGATAACCTCTGTGTTCCTCCATTTTAAATGCTCTGCATTCCTCCCGCCTTCCCCTGCACTCAGCATGTGCATGTTTCTCCTCACTGCCTGTACCTGTGCTTCCACATCAGCATCTCCCCCCTTCTTCCACCAAGCAATTAAGAGAGGTCCTGTACTGTAGCACTCTGCAGGTGTTTGCCTACTGGCTAGAGGGATCTAGGTGGCCACAGGATGTTCACAGCTCCTCTTGTTTCTAGTTGCTAATCAGCTTTTTAAAGCTGCTAAAAATACAGCCCTTGTAATAATTTATAGTGAAACTGCTATTTAAAGTAAGTTGAAAGGTATAGTTGCAAGTAGTTTCTGTCACTGCCACGCTACCACCCCCATTATCACAACTAATCTAGGGAAGACAGGTAGATATAATCAGAGCACAAATGTTTCCCCTGTATGGAAAAGACAGACGCATTACACCTCTCAATTAAAGAGGAAATCAATACTGACAAATGTGAGTTTACATCTCAACCATTTATCTCTTAATTTCTAAGGGGGTAGACATGACATCAGTGTGTGGGCCTGAAAGCTCAAAGAAGCGGGTTGACTTGACAGAAAAGGAAGCAGCCATGATCAACTAGAACATTAAAATCCAATATGAGGATGTTCCCTGTAGCTCAGATAGGCTGGGTTAATTGGCAGCTGCTCTGTTGCCTTGTTTTTCTGTGCCAGCAGTTGTGTGTGTAAGGTAAAATTTGGTCCTGAGCACAGGCCCAAAGAAGGCTTACACACCACTCAGGCTCCTGAAGGGTTTCCCTCACACCCACTTATGATTTGGAGTCTGCTCCTTCCCCAAGCCCCACAGGCCAAGGGCTCACAAGCCTTCAGGTGGAAGGTTGGGAGCAAGAGCTGATGTCCCATGTTGAAGTCTTTTGGCAGTGACTGGATGTGGACCTCAGGGCTCTGAGAGTGGGAAGTGGGAGGCTGTCAATCCAAGGGGAGGACACAAAATCGTTGAGTGAAAGATTGAGGGGAAGTTGACGGGAATAGCACAAGACCTAATGTGACACTCAGAATGTCTTCAGCCAACCACACGTTTAGCAGCACTTCAGCTAGCCCAGTTTTAATTGATCAGGGATGACATGTCCTCCTGGTCTGGGGGTCGAGTGCTCTACATCTTGTACATCCTCCTGATAACAAAACTGTACCTGATGCTCACAGTGTCGCTTAGCTACCCCATGAGCTTGGGCCCCACAGTAGCATATCCACATCCCCTGAAATCTGCAGGAGTCATCTCTGGGTCCTGGGAGTTAATATTTGGCTCATAATGAATTACCCACAGTGGCCTGGACAGAGAAACATTGAAGTATTTTTAAGCACCACATTTGAGCTAAATGGCACAAGGAAGCGCCTGCATGAAGCAGCATATAATTAACTGCGATTACTGCTCCGGTCATATCATGATCCATTTAAGTTATTTTTCAGAGCGCTCACTATAGCCACTGTTTAATTCATTTTTTTTTTTTGTTAGATCACAGCTACACAGACATCTTTCATCTGCTGCCAGTGAAATTAATATTTTTCTTTATTCCTAGTACAGATAGAATTTTTTTTCTTTTCTGAGCTAGTTAATTCTGAGGTAGTTCATGTGACAGCCTGGGTGGCAGAGTCAATCTTTCCTAGACATTTCAGAAGAGAAGGGCCTTTGATCTCCTCGTGTTCTGATGTTTGCCATAAGCATTGCCCTCTGTCACTCCGTAGCCTGTGACCCCGGCTCTCGTTACATGGCAGCAGATTCTGTAGGTACAAATTTCTTTTTTTGTGAGCAGAATTTGCAGCCAGGGAATTGGTACCCATAGGTTTTGAACCAAAACAGCAAATAAAGATTCACCACAGACTAAATGTTCACAAGCATATCCGCCTGCCTGGGAGCAGAGATAGCTGCTTCTCATGGGCAAGTGGGGGGAGCAAAACCAGAGCTAATACAGAAGATATGTGAATTAGCGAGAAGGGCATACAGCGGGCAATATAAGGGGAAAAAGAAAGGTCTGTGCTCCTCTTGATCTCTGAGCTAAGCCAGCTGATTCAAGCCAGTCCCTTCACACAGTGAGTGATTGTCACCATACAACTCTGACTCAGGCTGACTGTGGAAGAGGGAGTGTTGGTGTCTCTGCACCCAGACCTGTTCCCTTTTGAGCCTGGGCAACCCACTAATGGATAACTGAGAGTTGGTTTTAGCTAGAAAACGCAGCTAGTGAGAATTGCCCTGATGCTTCTTGTTTGAGAGTGAGCACAGCCAGGAGCGTGCTCCTGTGTGCGTAAGTTGGTAAGAAGGCTCAGAAGTTTAAAATGGATGGGATAAACCTCAACAAATTAGTGTAGTGTAAGGCAAATCTTTTTACCATCTCTATTAAGACTTTTTACCTATTTGTTCCAAGCTCCAATTTTTAATATTTTGATTTTTTTCCAAGAGGTGCTTTTGAAGCAGATTCTGATCATCTTTCTAACCTTAGGAATTGTATGAACTTTCTTAGAGTTAGGTTGGGAGTTGAGCCTGATGGTTGCGGCAGTGCATAGGTGTCACGATCGTAGGTCATTCAACAGGCACTTTAGTTGTTAATTAGGGCAAGTAGAATATGCTTTGCTGCCTGTCAGATATTCTTGAAGTCCTCTCCTAATAGTCTGCAAAATGCTCTTTAATATCCTGCAAACCTGAAGTTGCATTGTAGGACTAAAGTGCTCCCTCCTGTCTTCTTTCCAAGGAGGCAGCTGTGCAAAGCTGCAAACCGTGACATGTGTACATACGTGTGTGTGTGTTTGTACAAATGCACACATTTCTGGCTTGCTGGTGCAGTTAACAAAAACTTTCACTCTGAGTTTGAGGATGACTGCAACCATCTCTTCTTTCTTCAGGAAATTTGCACCAAGATGTTCAGTGTGTAAGGAGCCCATCATGCCGGCCCCAGGACAAGAGGAGACTGTACGCATTGTCGCCTTGGATCGTGACTTCCATGTCCAGTGCTACCGGTGTGAGGTTAGTATTCTAATCACGTGAAGGACAGAAAGCAAAGGTTGGCTTAATTTCATCACCGCCTCATGTTCTACACATGACAGGCATACCCTATTGTAACACTGGCTCTACAATCAAATTACTTCATTGCCTTCAGCATGCAAGGAATTTTTCCTCATTTATATCAGCGCAAATGAGAAGAAAATCAGGTCCCTTGTTTATAACAGGTTCATTAGGAGAGCAAGAGAATGTGACTCAGGTAATTAGAGCTTAATATTTGAGAACATCATAAATTATAGCTTGGACACAAACGTTGCTCATGTTTATGTTCTTAAAATGAAAGCTAATGCATGTTAGAATTTGAGCAAGATTGTACAGGAAACTCAACATATGGCTCTGGGTTGAAGAATTTTAATGGACACATAAACATGATCATTCTTGTTTTGTGCAATGCTTTTTTTGCTACTTTCCTGTTCAGTTTCATTATGCACTTCATATAATTTTGATGGTAAGAATCTGAAGACAGAGAAGAAAAATCACCTTAAAGCAATTAACATGTGGGAACAGCTGTGTTAGGGAACCTTCAAGAATTCTTCAGTGCAAGTGTTACTTGTTGGATAATACATCAGCCAGATGGCAGGGTAAGAAAATGAGACCAAATGTATTTCTTATCACAGTTGCAGGTTTTAATAACTTTAACCAGAAAGAAGGATGGACTAAGGCTTAAAGGTCTAGGCTGAAACGTGAGGCATCTGGTTCACTTCTCAATCTGACCTTGGCTTCCAGGGTACGGCCTGTAAGCAAGCCGTAACCCCCTCACCGCAGCTCCTTCAGCAGTCTTTGGCCAAGTGATTGCCTGATCACACATTGAGGGATAATTCCCAGCTTCCCTAGCAGCTATACTTAGCCCTATGTACTCAGAGGCTGAGGTCTCCGGAGCAGGTTTTGGGCCCTTTTAGTGGGGTTTCCATGTGCCTGTCTCAGTGACATCCTCCTTTCAGCCACAACCTTTTGGGCCAATTGCAGTACAAACACGGGTGACAGTTCTGGTAAGGGGAGACAGGCAGGGAGTTTGCTTAGCTGTCACCCCTAGAATGGATGCTATAGCTTTGTGGCATTAACTCTTCCAAAGGAGATTACCTGTAGTCAGATATTGGTACCAAACTTCCTTCCCAGTGATGCTTCTTTTCTATCCTTTTCTGCATTAATAAATATGTACTTAAGTTTGATGTTTTCTCCAATGCTAAAGACCTTTCCTTCCTCAGAAATGTGAAGGGAATAATCTCCTTTTATTTTCAATTGGATTAAATTCAGCAGAGAGCTTGGGAACCCATCTTCTCTGCAGCATTGTCTCTTATCAGGAAATGGCTTAATCATGAAAGATATCACGTACCTCAGCTTCATGCTTTACGCTGACTCAGGCTGGATCCTGTTACAAGGTGGAGAGTGAGGAGAGAATTTCTTTGACTAATAGATTCTTCGGTTAATCTTGTTCTTCTCTTATTTACTTTGCTCTTGCTGTCTGCTTATTTCCTAGGACTGTGGCGGCCTCCTGTCTGAAGGGGACAATCAGGGCTGTTACCCTCTGGATGGGCACATCCTTTGCAAGACCTGCAACTCTGCTCGGATCCAGGCTCTGACTGCCAAGGCCAGCACTGATCTCTGAGTATCAACTGTGACCCTCCCCAGGATGCCCATTGGGGGATATTGCACAAGCTTTGCATGATTTCTTTCCAGCCTAGGGTCTGAATCTCTGTTTTTAAAAAAAAGTAAAACTGGAAGGCCTTGGAGCAAGAGGGCAGTTCGAGAGGCCATGTTCAGACTGCCTGTGACAGGCACCTGATTTAGATATGACTTTTCAAGAGGGTGGTGAGTGAGTCAGACCACCTGCTGTCTCTGCAGCTGATGGAGATAACTGGTCACAGCACCTAAGTTATCTGCCTGTAGAAGGAGGTCTGAACATGGTCCTAACTATATTTCTGTGTTTGATTCCTGTCTCTTAAGAAGTACATGAAGGTAGAAGGTGAAAGATGGCTGAGCTAGTTTTCTCCCATGTTATTTTGAGAACCTGACCAGCTCTCATTGAAGTCATGGGGAGCTTCCCTTTGACTTTAATAGGATCTGGATCACCAGCAGAAGTAGTTCCACTGCCCTAGAAGGTGTTGAGAGCAGACCCAGCACTCCTCTCATAACACAAACAATGCAACTTCAACTGTACTGCACCTAAGAGTGTAGGTGTGACCTTGTATCCTTGGGACACAGATTTGTTATCTGTATCTTTTTTCTTAGGCCCTTACTTGTCTCCATTCCCTTCCAGTTCAATAGGGTTTCTTCTTTTTCTTATGAAATTGTATTTTGCTATTGCATAAACTTATTCAGTAGTGATGCTTCCAATTCACAATGTATGAGCAATCACAGAAAGACGTGAGCTTGCACACACTATACACTACTCACACACACACTACACACACACACACACACAATGTGCTTTTGATTTACCAGAGGTATAAGCCAATCATGTCCATTGAAAAGGTCTTTTAAGGATGTGGGGCTGGAAACACATTTTTAAAATCCCAGTGGTTAAAAAAAAAAAAAAAAAGACTACATAGAACTGCAGTGCAAAGCAATGCTCAAAAAAATCTTATGCCACTCTCTCACCCCAATCTAGTGGGACCACTGGCAGTGTTGGTTTCTGGGTAGACATTTAAGCAATAGAGTCTTGTTCCATCTCCTGTTTATTGCAATAGGAGGATTTTCCTTCAACTGTAACAGGGATTGAATCAAGTCTTGGGATAAACATTTCTCTGGTGTTAACATGCATGATCTGGAGTTCTCATTAAAAAAATTAAGGATTTTATTTCAACAACAGCAAAAAGGATCCTCCTAAATACATGCTGTTGTTCAGTTTTTATTTTAAGAAGGCTAAAGAAGGTATTAAACCCTTCTCTATGCCATTCCAAAAAAGTAAGCATTTTTTTTTCCTTTTTCATTTTCATCCCAGCCACTTATAACTTCTTTTTGGTGAAATGTTGTTGCTGAAGAGTGCTGGGCCAGCAGCAGCATTTTCATCTTCTGTCCAGAATTAATACCTATGCCAAGGTAAATAAAAGCTGGGCACAGATGATCTTTTTTTTTTCTCACGTTGGTGGGGGTTTTTTTTAGTTTGGTTAATTAAAAAAAAAAATTAGAAATCCACAGCATTCTGAGCAGCTATAATATTCTTGTTCATGAAACCCATAATAACTAAGGTGCAAATTACATAGTGAGGGAGTAATTTTCATATCACTGAATTGACATTAATATCTTATTTGCAGATGTAATCAAAGAAAATACCTTTCTTTGCACTTAACAAATTAAGAAGCAGAACTGAAACAGTTGCAGGCTGATTGACCGTGTAAGTGACAAACTGGCACTTTTCAAGAGTAAGTTATAAGAATTTTTTTCATGCACCCACTGAAAAACAATAGATGTGGTGCTTTCATCTTTATTCTCTATAACAGAAGCCTGATATAATTATACCCACTAATGCTAAAAAGAAAAGTTAGATGAGCTAGATCGATAGGAAACAAAGACGAAAAATTGAGATACTCACTGCAGCTCCTGCAAATGGTGCATTTCCTTTCAGTTTAGCACTAACCTTTATGGAAGAGCACAGTGAAATTTAATAGCTTTAGCTGTATACAGTAAATTCAAATACAGAAATACCAGTCTGAAACCCCGGTTCCTTACACAGTTTATATGTTGGCAAACTGCACTGGTGTCAGGGAAGATTCCCAAAATTCACAGCTCAGAATGAATCCTTCTGTGCAGAAGGGTGGCATCATTAAGCAAAAGAAATCGTTCTCCACCATAGTGGCTGTGCTGAAGCAGTTTGCCTTTTTATACTAGAATTCTACCGCGGCCTTCAAGAATTTTACTGCCTCAGACGTAAACAGATTTTTTTGCACCGTGAGTCCTGCCAGGTTCCATCTGGGTTCCTGCTCCCTGAACTGTGGCACGTAAGGTACTTCTGAGCTCGCTTCTTTACGTGCAGTCTGCACCACCACCGGTCAAAAAAACCTCATAACTATTGAGCAAATCCAGTTTTAACTAACCCTACAAAAACACGGGAGGTCAGAGCTGGTATTGCTAACACCATTGTATCCTTGTGGAGGATTTTACATCTCTGCAAGCACAAGGAAGGACACGATGCACTCAGATGCAGAATAAGCCATTCATCAGGCAGCAAACATAGCTCTGATCTTCCTTATTCTTGTTAGTGTTAAATCAAGTGGCTGATGAGACTCTCCTGAGTAACACTGGGGTAATTGATGGAAACAAGCTATTGTGCCTTCCTGCAGAATGTGGCCTAGACTAAGGAGGACTGAAGTCCAGAGCTTTTGGGCTTTTTATGGCCCTGCCATAGGCTGGACTTGGAGCAAGTCATATGGCTTCTCGTCTTCTGCCTTCTGCACGAGAGGGCTTCTTTCCAACTTCCCAGGGATGTTATGGGAATTAAACTAATCACAGATTGGCCCAAACTACTGATTTTTGGAGTTCTGTCTTCTCTTTCCAGAAAAGTTTGCTGGTATGTAGGTTTGGGATTCCAGCCCACTTCAAAGCTAAGGGCCAGCCAGGAGATCTAGATCTGAATCCTTTGTGTTATTAGGGTGCTGTGGTGAGTTGGGCTGGCGTGCAGGGAGGTGAGAGCCAAACTTTTCAAGTATTAAGTACTCCATGGATGGAAGATGTTGACAAAGATTGAGCAGTGTTGATATTTGAGGTACTGTGGCTAATTTCTAGACCTGACATATCTGGGCAAAGGTACTATCATGCTTTTGTTTTCACCCCTGAAACACCAAAGCCATCTGCCTGTTGGAAGGAGCGAGCGTCCAAAACACTCTTCTTTATTTTCTCTGATGTGTGTGGTTTTGGCTTCTAAAATTGCTATAAATATATTCGGAAGATATTGCATAGATGTATATACATCACAGAGGCTCTCATCAACCGCATGTGTATGGAAATCTCCCCTCTGATGCTTCAGGATTTAATTAGGAAATGCTGGTGGACTTATCTCAATTGCACTGCAGTTAAGAACCACTGGGATATTGCTTCATCACAATATTTATCATATATTTATAATATATCCTGCTTTATCTGTTCCAAAGAAGGAGTCTTTTTGCCAAAGAGACCTAGCTTTTCTTAAGGTGCACTTCCTAGCCATGATAAAAATTCACGTCATCTGTGGCTGTGGTAATGTCAAAACTGTTCCTTTCAGAAAGAATTGGGAAGATCACACAGACATTTCTGTTCAAGTCTGCAGAGTTTTTGCTTATGCTGCTTTGGCTTTGTGTAGTGTTTATTGGCAAGTAGGGCCTGATCCCATGATTTGTATGGCCAGATGGGGCCCAGGAGGGTCCAGGATCAGGTTCTAATTTAGCAAAATATTTAAGCCCATGGGGTTTGTTTAAGGACGGGCTTTAAAGCCATTGCATGGTGTGACATAAGCGACATAAGCCATGGGTCTACCGTCATTAATACCAGACTGATTCTGTATCACCCAGTCATACAGATTTTGGTAGGATGTGGGCACAGTCAAATTTCTGTCAAATTACCCAGAACACATGAAATGGCTCCTGTGTCACCCTTACGCCAACTGCAGGAGGGCACCCGGTGGCTGATCCAACGTAACATTTGGACAACAGGAGGATGAGTTATTACAAGATCAGTGCTTTGTGTCGGGTGGCTGTGGCACTTTCCATATGTCACAAGTAGCCCTACAGCCAGATTTACTGTATCTTTGAACCACGGCTTTAAAACTGTCTACTTAAACTTTCTCCAGAAGATTGGGTTGCCTTGGTTACAGCCCAATCCTTAAGCATATCCCCAAGGCTAACACTAGTATTTTGTGAATGTGATGGTTTTATTGTCACTTCTTTTAATCATCGCCTGAATGTTGCTTTTAGAAACAGAAAGCAACACCATTGCCCTAGCCTATCAGATAATGCACCTTTGTTTTTGTTTTTTTTAATATTTTAATTCTTAGGTTTTTATCATGGCTGCAACACACTTGGGTAATGACTTAATCATAGAGGTGTAGGAGTACCAAAGTGTTTATCATAATGAACTCTACATAATAGGGTTCATCCTGATGGCAGGAGCGAGACCTTCATGAGACACAGGCCTTAAGTTGACTTTCTGCCTATCAGCAAAATGTGCCTGAGAAGAATGAGGAAAAAGTGTCTTTTAGAGAAATGGTGGTTGTTGAAGAGAACATGGAACAAGTCACACTGAAATCTCTTTGGACCTGTTACGGCTGCTGTCTCGCCATGGTCAGCCAAGCCTAGCTTAGGTTTGATAAATGCTGGTTCCTTTTGATTTTGAGAAAGTTCAGCAGACAAGGGATAACAGGACCCACGAGAAGGGCCTTGGGGGAAATCCTGTGTCTTCGCCCTCCTTCAGCATCAGAGATAAATGTTAGGCACCTGGTGCTTCAGCTGAATGGCTCAGAAAGGATTTGAGTTTATAACTGTTTTCTATTGACATCTAGTTCCTGCAGCTGGTTCATCATGTTGATTTACTATTTATTCACTGAGCTGGGTTGACTACACCTTATATAGACTTCGATACTTTAAGTCAGGGCTAGCAGAGAGAGACGTGCTGAAGAATCTCACTGTAGTGAAACTCCCACGAGAAAACACTAGTGGTGGTAATTGAGGGTTTGTTGCCAACTGATAGCAGGAACTACTTAGTACTATCTAGAGGTTAGTAAAATATAAACTGGGAGAGCTGTGAGAACACTATTTCCAGTTAGAGCTGGTCACAATTTTCACACTAAATTATGTGATGTCAGAAGGGCCATTTTTTTAATGAGAAATTCTCACTTTTTGCAATGTTATCCACAACAGTTTCTTTTCTTGCTATTATAATTAAAACCATATTGAATTTTTATCTAAATAAATTTCAGAATTGTTAACAAATATTTTCATTTTTCAAAAACCCATGTTGTCTTTCTCAGTTTTTTGTAGGTCTTGGGTTTCTTCTGCTGGTAAATTAGTTTCTTTGACGATTTTGAAAAGTTCCTTGGATAAAAATTCTATTTAAAAACAAACACATGTGTTCTTGGGAAATGGTTCAATATTGGACCTGGTGAAATAAAAAAAGCTTTTTAACTTTTCACAAAATATTTTTTCCCTACTTTTAACTAGTTTTGCTAACTTTGAAGTCACTGTTTCCAGAAAATCTAGATAATGTGACTCTTCTTAAAACAACAGTGTTACTTCTGTTGGGTTCATTTTTCTTTCCCATGTTAAAGCCATGGAGTGGCTGGCTATGGAGAATGCCAGGGTCTTCTACTGTGGCAATTGCAATTTTCTTCTTTCCCACACCCCCCCCACCCCCTGAAATTACTGAAGAATGTAAGCACGTTATGGCAACTGCCGTGAAGATCAAGAGATACTGATCAAACTTCATCTCCACGTAACCCTTCTGGCCTTGGGAATGGCATTTCTCCTTAAACATTTCTAGAAATACTACCTGGCTTCCTCAGCATTTCAAGTTTGAATCTGCAACAGTCAATTGCCCGACTGGCATTTGGAGCATGAGTGAGAATCGACTTTAAACTGTTGAAATTATAACATTCACCCAGCACCTAAAAATCTAAGGAAAAAACCTTAACCTCGGCAGGTTTCCTTGTGGACGTTGGGGAACAGCTCTCATTTCAGCTTGGTAATTCTCTGCTGTGATCTGAAAAAAACTAAGCTCAAACATTTGCAGACCTTTCTGGCATATGTACTCACCCGCACGCGTAAGGTGGTTGTGGGGCTACAACTAAGTAGAAATACAGGTTGCAATATTGAGCATTGCTACTTACACCCCACTGGGCTTTATTCCTGGCTATGTGTTCCCGGTCTCTTTGGCTTCACGTTGCATGTGGAAGCAATGGGATTGATCACTGGTATCGAGAGCACGCAGTTCAAACTTTTTTAATTTTGGTGTTTGTCCACATTTCTCATCATACCTAGACCTTTTAGAAAATGAAGAAGGAAACGGAAGCCCCAGGTGGCAGCATTACCTTTACATTTCCAGGGGTTAGAGTCCCTCACTGGGAACGTGACACTTGGGGTGTCTCTATTTTTTGCCTCTGCCTGCCTTTGTCCGCAAGCAGCTCTCTTACCCGCTTTTTCCATTTGCTCAACGTGCACTCATCTTTGTAGTGAAGATGGTATGTTACTTACTTCACAGAGGCATTGTCAGTCTTAGCTAGTAGTTGGAAAAACTTCCAGATCTTTAATCAAGTAGTTTTGTGCATGCATAGTATCAGTGGCCTGCCACATGGATATCAAAGGAAATGATTATAATTATTGCTTTTAAAATGATTATGAAATTGTGCCTTACTTTTTCAGTCATATTTAACCATGTAATTTAGAACCACATGATTGCAGGGATTTATCATGAAGAAATTTGTTTGAAGGATAGTTTGTTTGTTTTTAAATATTTTCTCTCCAAAAATGAATTTATTAGTTTTTCCTTTTTTATTTTTTCCTCCAGTTTTATTCCTTTAATATGTTTGTGTAAAAGGGCAGCCAGAATTTGCATTCCTGAGAGACAGAAGATTTTATTTGGTCTTGTATGTAGAGCTTTCATTTTCTTTTATGTTCCTTCAGGAAAATTCTTCTCTGCCCGATTACTCATACTTAGATGTCTTTAAATGCAGGCTGACCAGTAAGGGTTTTTTGTTGTTGTTTAATTTAGTGTGTGGTTTGCTTTGTGTTTTGTTTTTGTTTTTTTTAATTAACCAGATATGGGGTACTGGGGAGGCATTGCACATTAATGCAGAATGTTAATGCTAATTTTCATAGAAAAGACAAAATTAGTCTTTCCCTGTCCCCAGTGCAGTTTTGTTACTGTTTTGTGTACAACACTAATATTAAGCCAGACTGTAAAGGCAAAATACTCAGTGACCTACTTCCATTCACCAGCAAGAACCCTTTGTCAGCTGACTCCTGTTTGTTTGTTCATTTTTAAATGTCGGATTACAGAATGAGCATCTCCTAAAGATGAAAGAAAACAGTGTTTTCATGTGCAGGAAATTTGGGGTTGCAGTAACAGAACATTTTCTTTGTGAATTTGGATGTCATGGTGTTTTAAGCTCTTGCCTGGAGCCTAAATCAATTTGGCCTCTCATCCAGTTCATCTCGCTGGTGCTCCTAAAAGGCTGCAGCCCTGCAAAAGCTCATGCAGCATTTTTGGCTGCCTTCCCTTGCTCCCATTTGGTACATATTTGCACAATTTAACTGAGCTTTTCTTTCTGCTGAAGGTCAGATGCAAGCGATACGAAACACTAAACTTTATAAACAAGCAAAGCCATTTCAACCACAGCATTTTGGACTAGAATGGATTTTTAGGTGGCGCACTGTCTGCTGGCCTTTGGAGAGGGGATCCTGAGACTACATTGGGCTGGAACAGGATGCAAAGCCACAAGCCTTGGTTTTTTTAATGAACTACTTACTGTAATCCAGCTACAGTTTCAGCCTCACACTTCAGAAGCAGCTTCCAGCAGCAATGCACGTACAGGCACTTTTTCTCTTGCAGAAAGTGAAACTTTCTCAACCAGAGTAAATTCAACCTATTGCATAAGATGCTGGAAGATTTTTCTTTTTTTTTTTCCTTGGGATTCTCGCTCTAACCTCTATGTGCAGAGGATGAATAGCTTTTCTTTTTCTCCTCTTTTTTTTTTTGACAAGATTAGATGTTGCATATTGATGAGCTAGCATTTCAAAGGTCCGTGGGGCTTTGGAACATATTAAGAATCTCTGAAGTTTAATATTCACCATGTTTTAAATATTCAGAAGGAAAAGTCTGCATAAAATGGCTTTTGATAAATACGTTCTAGGGATTCTTTCTTGCTATCTTACGCAAGCGTTGTGGGGATTGTGGCTGTGCCAGTTTTGTTCCAAAGTGTCTTTTGTTTCAGCATTTCAGGACCATTTTGATCCCATTTGTATGCCCAGTGCTTGTCCTGAAGTCTTTTATGGTTTCTACTGGAACTGTACAGCAGGCAGGTGGATGCGACCAAGGCAAAAGCGTAGCTAAGCATCGTGACTCCTGAGTGTCTGCTTGATTGCTCCCCTCCTTATGACAGCTGGGCATGTCCAGCCTCTCTGTGCCTGCTTTTTGTGATGCAGGTTGGGGTTAGCTCAGTGGTCAGGCCTGGCGGAGATCTTTCTGCAAAGGTGCTCCACACCAGTGGGCATTTGAGAATGGAGAGGGCAAGATCCTGGGTGCAGGAGCAAAGCAAAGTGCCATTCAGTGCATCTCAGATCTCAGAGGGCAGTTTCCCCTTCCTTGGATGTCCCTCTTTGGTAAGAGTCTCAGCAGTAAGAGAAGTGCTTTTAGGAGAAATCCTCCCTTGGGGATGCCCTATTTCCCATGCTGTTGAAAATCCGATTGAAGCTTTAGATGAGGAGGGTCAGTTATGGGCTGCAAACACGCAGCTACTTACTGTATTATTAACTCTCTCGTTTGCCTTGCCCTTGATGTCCCATGGTACATACCATGGTGCGCAGGACAGCTTCTTTGGTCCTGCTCACACACAGCCTTGATTTTGTTGTGCCAGTCCCTGTTGAATCAGCGCCTGGTACTTGTTCTCAGGACTGCTCTGGCTTGGGCCAAGGGCGTCTTATGCTCCTGTGCAAAAGGTGGTGCTTTCAGGTTTTGGCTTACAAATACTGCAGCCCTTTCAAACTCACCTTTCCTCTCTCATGTATTCCTGACAGAAGTAGGATTTTAAATATTTCATAGCATTCTTCTTTCTTCTTCCTTTTTGCCAGATGCCTTGAAAACATTGTCAGATTACGATCTGGTTGGGGGTTTTCAGGATCAATTTCCTTTCCTTCTTGATTGCATGGTGTAGGTTTGCAATGAGGGTTTTTTCCTTTTTTTTTCCCCTTTCCTTTTTCCCCTCTTTTTTTCCCCTCTTTTTTTAGTCTTACAGAACAGATGCCTTCAGTTTATGCAGAGAAAGATTGACTATGATTAGAGCTAATCCAGGATGGCAGGATTGGACCCCCACAGTGAAAGCTAGAAAAGTGATTGCAAAAGTATTCTGTTTCTCCTGTATTAATTACACAGGAAGTTTCCATCAAAGGCTCATGTAGCACAACTGGCCTATGTAATAAGTAGCAGGGCCTGTAATTACAGTCTTGTCTTCTGCTCCTATCTGTGCCCTGACTTTCTAGGCACCGCAGTTCTATTTACATCTGTGTCTTTTAAATTTTTGATTGGTCGCTAAGGAAAGAAGAGCACAAGCCGTGAGCCCTGTGGAGGTGCAGCAAGTCTAAATGAGGGAGTCCTCCTCCTTCTCAGGTTATCTGCCTGATTTGGAACACAGAACAGAGCACGGGGAACAGGGGGGATTTTACCAGCCGTGCAGCGGAGTGGGCTGCATGCCAACTGAGTATCTTTCAAGATCTTGGAGTCTTTGTAGGACTGGAAATTTGAACCTTTTATAGGTCTTAACTAGTGTACTATCATGTGAGGGAGTTTATATATCAGCATTTCTTTGCTCGGAGCAGTTTCTACAGGATTTGACCTTTCCTTTCTGTAAGATTCAGGGTTTTATGGTTGCAAAGAGATCTTCCACATGTGGCATGAGGAAGGAGATGGCTTTTGGCATCATGCAGAGAAGCTGGGCTACAAATCCTGATATTGATGTAAAGCAAGAGTAACTTGAGTGGAAGGGGGAAGGCAGTGATTTATACCTGGTTCAGTACCACGTTCACCAGCTCTGAGCAGCAGCGAGCACAGCTGCAGGCAGATCAGCTCGCTGGGGTGTCAGTCTAGAGACCTGCAATGAGTAAATGGGCTCCTTGTGAAAGTGTTTGGTGCTGGTCACTCTGGCAGTAATCTCTCATCTCTGTGGAAACGTGCACTAAAGTTAGGGTAAAACTACAGAATGGTGCCCCCCAGTCTTTTCTTCAAGGCATACTCCAAGTGCTGTTTGATCAAGAGGAATGAAAGCCATTGTGCAAATACTATACTCTATGCAAAAAATATTAACAATCCACTATGGATACTTTTAATGTCCATTAAACTGTTATGCAAATTGTCCTTTTTCTGCAGCTTGCACTGTAATTATTTTTGGTCTGACTTCTATTTAAAAAAAACCTCAATTATTTTTTAATTTTTTTTAACTCTACTTCTAAGAAAGTTGATGCTTTAAAGGAAAAAAACCCTTACTTTCAAACATGGGCTTTTCAGGCTTCGAAATTAATAATTTCTACACCTGACCCAGTTCCTGCAGCTGCCAAAAATGAAAAGAGAAAGCTATTTAAATTTCTCATAGAACCATTTATCTCTTAAAATATGCCAAGGCAATTTGAGGTGGGGGTGGAGACTCAGCTATTTATCTCAGCAGCTTGATTTTTGTCTTTATGTTTCTAACTGTCAGGGGAAAAAAAACGGTAGGAAGCTATTCTTGGGCTATTATTGATGTATTGTGTTGCCATTATGCAGGATGTCTGCTTTGCTATATACGGAAGGACATTAATAATAGCCATCTTCCCTCCCCCCACCCTCAGTTCCTCTTTGGGAAGATGTGGTTTAAACTGGAGCATCTGCCATGTTCAAATTGCTGCTCCCGCCTCCCCTTCCCCCAATTCATTCCCAAACTAGTTTTGGGAACAGGGCTAAGGGAATAAGGAGACAGGTTATATTTGCCATTTTTCTGCCTACTTGTGTGGTTGCTCCAGGCAAGTCATTTCCATGCCATGTACCTGTCTACCCTCTTCCTTCCCATGTATTGCCCCTCCTTTCATTTTAAGTTCATCAGTGCAAAAAAACCCTTTCTCGCTGTCTTTTTCTCACAGGGGCTGGCTGGCAGAATGGGCTCAGCAACAGACCTCTGATTTGTTATTACCCAGCATTTCATATCCAGCAACGTTGGTTTCTTCATTATTTCCCCTAAGTAGGAAAATGTATTCCTGTTCCCTTTCCTTCTACCCCAGGTTTAAAACATTGTTATGAAACTTTAAAGGGTCCATCTGCTTGTTTAAAGACTCAGATGCTTGTTTTATTTTTGGAAGCAGAGTATATGGTGAACAGTAATAGTCTGATGATTAAAAAATAGCCCCACTTCAGCATTCCCCTGAAGTGCGGGAAGTCCTGTCTCCACAGGTCTGTGCCAGCAGTATGATAGCCCAGAGAGCAAAGCCAACTTGAATAGGAAAAAGAACTGGCCTGCCCCATTTCATCTGTAAGAAGAGAGGTGAAAATAAGAAACGTGGCAAAAAATAAAGTGCTTAATTGCTCTGGTTATTTTTTTTAATGGCTGTTCCTACTTCTCATGCTAATTTTGTTCCATAGAAGCTTTGCTTATCCAGCATTTCTGATAGTCAGGACCATATGCTTTTCATGGTGTCATTATTTCTACTCGTCGTTTGTTGTATCCTAGTCTTGCTCTGGTCCCTATATGGTATGGAGCCATTTTGATTCGGGCACTGAATTAAAACAAAGTTAGGAGCTCTGTCTAGGAAAGCTCACCTGGAGTTTAGCACCAGAAAATGCAATCAGAGTATTTTCCAGTTCTGATACAGGGAGGTTTTCCAAATATGAATTCTAGATGGGAGGAATGCCTTCATTTGGGAAAGTGCTCAGATTTCAAAATGAAAGGGATATGGCCATTCAGTGTAGTTTCTTGTTGTTTTTATTGTCTTCCTTGGTGGTGGCCAAGGAGAAAAATGCCACCTTCTGAAGTGTTCCCTAAACTAGAGCCAGAGCCCAGCACTTCCTCTGCAAACATTTGCTCCAGCTTGCCACACTGCTGCAGCATGAGAGCAAGGAACGCCTGCTAACGAAGCAAGGTCCACCTCATCCTCTCCATAGTCAGAGCTGCTCCCCATGGTGAGTCTGTGTCCATCTTAGGGCTTGATCCTGCCTTCCTAGTGGAAGTATTTTGCCAGAAACAGGTGTTTTCTCTCTGCCGTTAGCTATGGGACTGTGTGCAATGATTAGGATTTGAGGGAGGGAGGAGAAGATCCTGTTCCAATTAGGCTGCCTTTGTGCTAATGTTTCATTCAGGGCTATATGAGGTAAGAGCAGTTTGCACTGAAATACACAGCTGGAGGTTGTGGTTTGCGTTTCAACTATGTTGAGATGGTACCCATTGAAAATACAGAACTGGGGCACTTTTTTACATCTGCCAGTGCTTTACTGACAGCTCTGTATGGGTTGGAAACCCATTTCGGTTTGGCAAATAGATATTTTCTGCCTTGTCCCCTGAGCCTGATCTAGTTCTTTGCTTTATCCACCTAAAAAATAGTATTTCTAATGTGCCTAATGCCTAAGTAGCTGAGCACCTGACAAGCATCTAAGCAGAACAACCAGCAAGGTGAAGAGTAGGCTATTAACTGAGCTGCCTTTACAAAAAGTGTATTCCACTTTCTTCACTATGTGCCTTTTTGGAGACCTGTGGTGCTCCTTTATGGGCAGCAAAGTAATAGCCCTAGTGCCGAGCAGGGATGCGAACTATGAGAATGATGTACAACAGAAGCAAGAGGTTAATTTTGAGCATATGTTCTCCATTGGGATAAGCAAAGCAATGCCTTTATCCCATCAGCACTGCTTGTCTTAGCACACCTCATTGTCTGGTAGGCAACTGTTCAGTAGCAGAGGTACTTGGGTATATCTCTTCAAACGTCTCTGTTTTATCAGAACTCCAGTCATTCATATCTGGAGATTTTATTTGCTTAATATTGTCTCTTATAAGATCTCCATTATCCATTTTTTATATAATGTTAGAAGAGAAAATTTGAAGGTGAACCAAAGGCTGGGTGTTTGATTGGTGCTACTGTATTAAAAAGGCTGATGTGCTCTCACTTTTAATCCCCAAAATCATGTTTTAGGAAACTTTTCCCTGCTGTGGTCAGAGAGGAAATGCAAGGTTTTTTGGAAATGCAGCAAAAGGAAAGGTTTGATGTTTTGATGCTCAGTACTGCACCACTGTGACCTCCTCTGCTGTCCCTCTGGAGAGTGAGGACTGAGTATTGGTAGAGGTATGGGCAGAGCAAAGTTATGCTTGGACTTTCTCCTGATCTTGCTAGATAGGATCTGCCTTGGTCAGACTTCAACATCCTTAAGGGTCCTATAATTTCCCATGCCATGGCTTGTGTTTTGGACCTCCAGTGCCTTCTCTCCAGTTAGTCAAATGAGAGACCAGGAGTACTAATTCTGCAGTTTTGGTAACGGCACTTTCCAGCTCAGAACAAACAGCAGAGGTTTGTTGTGTTTCAGAGCCTAATCTCTCACACTGGCGTTACCTGTGAGGTCTGAACCACACATGGGTCATTCCAGAAGGATTCCTCTTGGCTAAATGCCCCTTGGCGAACCCCCCGAGGGCCGGGAGATTGGCTTAGGTCTTCCAAACTACAAGGAGGGAGTGCCCCCAGGAACGTATTTGTCCTACGTAGCTGCTATGCTTTGGCCTATCCCTGCCAACTGTAGACCTGTCTGCTCTAGGGTTCACCGGTGATGATGTTTATTGGATGTGCAGTAATTCACAGTGGATGAGGAGGCCAGGTTTGAGGCGGTATTTCAGCTTTATGGTAGCTGTTGGTTTAGCCCTTGAGACAGAGAAGGTTTTGCATTGTTGCCTTTGTTGCAGTTGGAAGGGGAGCGTGACTGACCACACTTGCTGTCCTGTGCCAGCAGAGGCGCTCGGTGGTATGGGAAGCATCTTCCTTTTAAATGTGAATCACTAGCCTAGGTATCTGGGCAAGAAAGGGGCACAAGGAGGCTTTCCCTGTATGAGGGATGCCTTCTGCTGCACACTCCATGCCCTCAGATCCTAATGAAGTAACGTTACTTGAGCTTTTAGGACTGGTCTCCTATCTGTCAGAGCTTGGGGGTACCAGAGTTTTACCCCTTGCTGAGCACAAGCACTACCCAAGTCTGTGAGGGGCCCAATCCTGCTGCCATTGGAGTTTTCCCAAATCCTGCGAGTTGCTGAGTGCACCTCCTGTGAGCTGCTGAGTAGCCTCCCTTCTCACTGAACCCATCAGGCCACTTGTCTCCTTCATTGACTACTTCCACAGGGCTTTGAGGGCACTCAGGAAATGCAATCAGCACCTTACAGGATTGCCCCGCTAGGTAATGTATGAAGTTTTTTCTCTGGTAACTTGTGTGCATGAACTGAAAACCATTTATTCCAGTTTGTTCTGAGGACAGATGCAGCATATACACGTTTTCTATATTTATAAATACATATAGATATATATATTTTATTCTCAGCTAGTTACCTCTTCTAAACTGCAATTTTCAGAGCAACCGGCATATATTTTTTATTCAACACGTAAAATGACTTTTTACAGTAAGAGAATGAAAGCTGTTTTAAGCATGTGTTTCCTGTATTTTTATTATGCATTATCCAATCATATTGAGATGTATTTTCCTCTTTGCTCTGCTCTTTCAGTTGTTATCCTTTTTATCAGTTATGCTTTTCTAATGTTTTGTAAGGGAAAATAAATATGCAAAATCACCAGATGCCTTTTTTCTTTGCAGAAGAAGTATCACAAATGCTTTTTTATTACATTTTACCAATCCAATAAACTCCTTATAAATTTCATTTTTGTTTGCTAGTGTGTGAAATTATTTTTTCAAGTTGAATGGTATTTACTTGCTCCCAACCTCCACCTGCAATTATGCTTCCTATCCTCCATCTCTCTCTCTCTTTCTTTTGGGTTCAAAATTTCACTGTGTGGCTCCTCAACATACTTAATTCAAGAGCCTCTTTCACTGTTGGGTGAAGCAAGGATGCTAGAAATATGTCACAAGAGAGGCTACCCCCTGCTTGTACTGGCCCTCTCTTGATGAATTTTGCGCTGTTCTTAAAAATGTGCACCTTTGCAGTAGAGAGCACTCCCTTCTTAAACCATGAGGTAATCTGCAGAGGTGGGTTACATGCGGAGGTTGCCCACGAATATTCTCAAATTTGAGTTGTGATCGGGTAACAGCAGAGCCAAGCACCTTGCTTTGCAGCTGCATGGAGGAACATTATTGAAAATATTATGGGGAGAGTAGAAAGAAGTTTGCTTTGCAAAGCCTGCCTCTTCTAGGAGGTTGTTTCTAGGCTGTCATTGCGGTAAATAATCTGGATTGTTCCCGGTCCAGTCCAATCTGCTTCAAAAATACCGCTGATCACCACACAGCCTGGCCTTCACCTCTCCAGTCAGAGAACTGGCACAGCACCAAACCCTCACCAAATGCTTTCCCTGACCGAAACGCTTCAAGTGACGGGGAATCCAGTGTATCCTGGTAAGCTTTTCCAATGACCGTTTCTTACCTGCTAAATATGTGCACCCTGCTTATAGCCTCTGCTTTTCTACCCTCTCTATCCTTGGACCTTTTTATAAAAGCCCTTTGCTTTCAGAAATCTTCTCCTGTGCAGAGCTGCACAGGCTGTCTTCAAGGTGGGATTCGTCTCGATGAACTTTAGCAGCCTGGAAGACAGCTTTGTGTCTGAGGTGGCCCTCTAGTCCTCTGCAGTCAGTGGAGAAAGTCTATCATCTTTTCTTTAGGTGAGCGTCTGAGGCAGGTTTGGTTTGTGTCTTTAAGGGTTAAATGACATGAATACTGTCCTCCATATCAGCAAAAGTAGTTTCTTAAAACAGTTTTTCACAGAGTTTTAGAAAGATCCCAAGGCACACAATAGAGCTAAACCCATTCCCCATTTGTCACTCCCAACAAAATTTTATCTAGCATCCCCTTGAAGACATCGCAGATGGAGATCCCACAACATCCCTTGTCAGTCCATTCCATAGTGGCGTTGTCTTCACCCTTGGACAGTCTTTCCTACTGTCCAGGCTGAATATTCTTGGCTGCAAATTAAATCTCATACTTCCTTTCCCACCTCCAGTGAACGTGAAGGACTTCTTCAGTAGGTTATGTATTCTCAGGGGATGCTTTGTTAGTCATGGAAGGAGGCGCAAGCAGCAGCTTTGCTCCCAGCTCCTCCTCCCTTTCCCCAGGGGACTTTAGGAAGGGCCTGTGTTCTCCCTCAGGAAAGGACGAAGTCTGCAGCTTGTTCCTACAGGACATGGGAGTCTGACAGGCTTTGTCTTGGCAGTAAAGAGAGCGTGATGGTGTAGGCTTTCAAGTCCATTGAAACTGCTATATAGTTTTCCAAACTCGATATTATTACTTCCTTTATAGCACAAGGTATTTTTTCCTAAACTTGTTACGATGGAAAAGTTCCAGGGATATGTTGTCCACACACAAATCAAAATGCTTTAGCAGGCCAGGGACCAGAGGCAAGGGCCAAGGGTGGGGGACCTATTAATTTGATAGTTTGGCACTGCTTTTCTTGCAATCAAAGGCAACGAGAATCCTTTGAAGACAATGAAAGCTCTGGGAGTGAAGTGTATCTAAAACCCAGGTGCCACAGCTAGCCGTACCAGGGGTTTAGGGCGGCATGGAGGCGGTGTAGACTATTTGGCAGCCCCACAGGTTGCTCTGTTGGTGATGTTCCTGGTCAAATGAAGAAGCAGTTGTACAGCTGCCTTCTCCTGGCCTGATGGCTGTCTGCAACTGTGGCTACTGTAGATTTAACCACCTGGTTTTAAACAAAGATGGGTCGTGTATGTTTATCTTGAAGATATCTAGGCTAACTTGCTGTATGACTTCCTCTGTGTCACAAATGGAGTTTTATTACTGAGCAAGGATGACTTTTGCTTTCTAGCCAATTTTGAAAAGATTTCAGGGGCTTTGTAAGCTTCCTCGGGGGTTTTCAAAGCTGGGAAGAAACTCGGAAAGCTGGGGAATCTGTCCACAGTGCCGGTGTCAGCAGGCAGCATTGGTGTTACGGACAGGGTTTCTCTCTTCTGTCTCTGATAGTTTGGGAGAGAAGAGTCCAATGCAAGTGAGCTGCAGGGCTCCCTCTGTGATAGATGGACACCTCCAAAGGGCCATTCCTCCAACGTCTCTTAGATATCTTCTTCATGGCAGGGTGAACTGTTTTCTGGAGATGCCTCTCTGACTCTATGAACTGTCAAGGGGCTCTGAAAGACCAGCATAGACCAGACCTCTTGCTTTCAGACAACTGAAATTGGAGAAGATAAATAGACACAGTGAGTGGGCTCTTTCACCACTGTCTATTCCCCACAAAACGGCAAGTGGCTGCATAACACAGCATCACCTCTGCTGCAAAAACAAGCAGGGAAAGAGTGAAGAGTTTGGATTTGGCTGTCAGGAGAATTGCTGCTGCTGTCAGTGTCATCCATCACAACCTGCCAGGGTTGTGCAAGACAAAGTACCGCTCTTCCGGTGACACAGAGGAGCTCACTTCCCCAGGGAGCTTTCGGGAGGAAGGCTGGGAGCTCTCTGCCCCTGGTCTGCTGGACCAGATCCAGGCAGTCCTGGTAACGGTGAGTCGAACTGGGGGAAGCCTACACCTCTTTTGCTGCTGAGAGTTTCTGGGGACAATGTTTTATTGATACTGAATCCACTTAAAATACACAAGGTCAGTCCTGGAGCGGAGCGGAGATGTAGCAGCTGCTTTCAAAGTGCTAACTGCAGCTCCAGTGCGGTGTCACCAGGAGATGCACATGACACACTTTTCCACAAGGTAAGGAAAAATAAATAAACCCAAATCATTGCATAGCAGAATGGACTGCTTTTTTATCTTGCAATATTGTTGATGTTGGACTGAATCTGCTGTCTTAAAGTATAAATATAAAGACGCTGCTAAATCATCACTATTTCAGCAACTAATTAAGGGGTAATGCTCATGGTGCAGCAGTATATGAGGCAATAAACGGCTTTGGCAGCTGATTAAACACTGGCACCGAGGCATTTAATTACAGCAAAAGCCAATTACCATACGCATATTCTGACACCATGGACATTACTCCTGTTATATGACAGAACAAGAAAAGGCAATAAGCCATGCTATAGAGATGTATAGTACAGGAGACTCTAGCTTTGCCAAAACCAGCACCCTTCCTCTCCACTGGCTCCGAGATGGGGACTCAGTCTCCATAGGGAAGGCTCAAAACAAGGTCACAGAGTGAAAACTCTTTGTAATTTATAGGACTCATTTGAGATCTAGAAACAGAGTCAAATATTGCAGATCCTCCCCATACTAAGGTGCATTTGACCATTTGTAGAAAATAATATTCCCACACTCAGCTAGCAGGTGCATTTAAAGCCTCACCTTAGTATATTTAGCATCAATGGACAAGTCAGTAGCACTGATGGAAGAGGTTATGCATGGCCTTTTTTTTCTTTCAGTTATTGCATTGCAGAAAGCATAATCAGTTGCAAAACACCACATGCCATTCTTCAGCTAATTGATTTAAAAACTGGAGTCTGATTTTCACAGGCTTTCAGCTCTTGTACCATCCATTTGACTTAACCAGCTCAGCACCTCTTCAAATTAAGCCCTCGCTGTCTTTAACCAGAAGTGAATTCTTCTTTTGAAGGAGTTTCCTAGAGAAATTCTCTCTTAGAAAATCCTTGGCAGGAAACCTTAGCCAGCCTTGGCATGCAAACCTGCCTCACGCTGGCATTAACAAGTCTCTTATTTAAATGTTGATGAGCTCTTTGCTGCCAGTTAGCAATGGGAAATGCAGTCTGTGTGTTAAACGAGAGCTGGGAATGACTTCCAAATACCAAAATGTTTGTTAAACTCGCGGCCCACCTCTTCCCTCCTTGGGAGTGGGAAGCTTCCCAGCAAATTGGCCCCATTTTGCACAGAAACTGCCAGGCAGGATCAGACCAAGGATCCCTCTCGTTCTGTGGCCCATGTGGGACTGACGCCAGCAGCATTGCTTCCCAGGACGCCCCGCCGTACCGCTGGTGTGCCGGTCTGCCCCAGGGTACCTTTCCCGGACCCCCGTTAATTAGTGACGGTCTCACGCTTTGAAGGCAGGCTCCCCCTACTATAGTCTGCATTTGGGTTTACTTGTTTGCTTTTAACCTTTACGGTTATACGGTGGGTCTGGCGGCTGTTACCTGTACTGAGAGCTGATGAACCACACCCCCCAAACCTTTTTGGAGTCACTTGGTTCTCCACAGCGCTTTACAGAAATGCATTCCACAAGCTGATTGCGATATTATATATATTGATACATCTCTTTAGCTAGACAGACACCCCCTAAAATTCAGCCTGAGGCAGCGGGATCAGTTTCTATTTGCTTGCCATCCCATGGAGACCAAATGCTTTGTTGCCTCTAAACCAGGAATATCTCATATATGGTGGGGGCTCTTTAGTTCTTCTGGGACTCTCCCCTTTTGCAGTGAGTCTGAGGTGAGTCAAACGATGAGTTTCAAATAATAAATGCCAGGAGAGGGAGTCTCTCTGTATCCTCATGTTACCTTTGCTGCCTTCTGAAATCAACATGTTCCCCAGCCAAGGAACGTGTAAATTCTTTCAGCTATCACTCACTTTTGGATGAATCCCAACTGCACATATATACAACAGTCAGTTTCCTCGGTGTTTGAATGAACCAGAAAGGCTTTGTCTGCTATAGATGAGAGCTTTCAATCCCATTTATGGTACATTATATCAGTCTGAAATAGCATCTGTGAAGTCCTTAAACTGAACCACCATCAGATTTACAGCCACC